GGACCGCAGGCGAGAATGAGGTCTGAGGGAAAGTTTGCAGACAATGTAAATTTGGATTATTTATGGTTGTTGTGGGAAAGGGAGATGCCTGCTTGTTAAAAGTGACCTCCAAGTTCCTATGGGCAGGAATTCTGGTACCGGACTACAGTTCTGGCTGGGTGGACTATTTGTCGTAGAAAGAACTGCACACAATACAACAATATGCAAGATGTGTATGTCAATTTGTTAAAAACAATTGCTATGGTGTCTTATTTCAACAGTGGTATGTGGTCATGTGATTCAAAGTCAATATACATTTATTGTCATATTCTGACATTTGAATGCTTCTAATGTAGCTGTCTACCTTTGTAAGGCAGTTTATTTTCTTCCAACGATAGCTGTTTTATTGTGTGTGTATATAGTACGCTATTAAGGCTCTTCAGAATGTTTCAGCCTCATTCATCTAGGTTAATTATTGAGAAATGTCTCCTCATTTTTTTAAAGTAATTTCTTCTGGATTTTTTGTTTACTTCCAGTTTCTGTACCAGCATTGTTGCCCAAGATTACAAAGGAAACATTTACCATGGCCGGAACCTGGATTATGCTTTTGGTGATATATTACACAAGATTACAATTGATGTGCAGTTTATAAGGAATGGGCAGGTATGGTTTGTGTGTGACATCGATTGATGGCATTTTTTATGGCAGGAGTGTCAAACATCTGGCTGTACAAACCAGATTTTGCTGCCACTCACCCCTCCGCCAAATTTCCAGCCCTGTGGGCCAGATGACACTGCTCCATGGACCATATTAACACCCCTACTTTCCGGGAATGGCATATGGCTGTACATGTATTTAAGCAGCTAGATTCGGTGAATCATCTGTGCAGGGCATGATAATAAATTACACAAACATTTGCTATTTGGAGTTCTTCACCATGCAGGATGATAGCTCTTATTATAGTACCTGGGTACCCTAGTATCTTTCTCTAGGGTTGTATTTGTCAATGCATTTCCTGGATACCAGGTTGCTAGCAAGAGATTGAATAATTGCTTCAAGTTCAGAGTAAAGCAGCAAAATTCATTTGGGGCTGGGAGAAGGCTAATCTATTAGGAAATCCTGATAGAAAAAAAAATGTATTGTGTAGTTAAGGGGTGATACATGTTTACAAATATTAGAAGGATGGAAGCCACCAGAATGGAAAAGATCTTTTAGTGATATTGCATTTGGGGAGGGTATAACTAGGATATAATCAATAGAAATTGAGAGAAGGGAAGGTTAGGGCTGGATTTCAGAATACTTTTTCTCACAACATAGTGTATTTGGCTGAAGAACAGCCTCCCAGGGGGAAGTTGGAAAAACAGTCACTGGTGACATTTAAAACAGGGGGAAAATACTAGAAGGGATCAGGTGGAGTAAGGGATGGGGAAGCCTTTTGCAGACATTATGTTCACTGGCCAAGGTTTGCATTAAATTTTTTAAATATTTTACTGAAACTAACTTCTCAGATTTAACTCGCTAACTCAACATTTCATAGTACTTGGATTCTGATTACTAAATGACATGGAGTAGACTTACATTTTTTGATATCTCCTTCCCAGAGGAGGACAGATAGTATATTTGTGTACTTTTATTGTGTTAATTTTTCAAAGGGCCCACGGTGGAATCATTATTTCCTTCTAGGAAATAGGTAGAATGTAGGACACTGTTTCACAATATGATTTGCATTAAAAAAAATTCTGTCCCATAACTCTGGTATCCTGTACATCTTTGATTTTCAGGTAGCATATAGGGGCACTACTTTTTGTGGCTATGTTGGCTTATGGACTGGACAAAGTCCGCACAAGTTTACAATTTCTGGTGATGAACGAGGTAAGCCAAGCACACTGCCTATAGTTAATGCCAACCATTGTACTATGCTTTAGGGTTATTGGTTGTAGCTGTGTTGGTCTAAGGACATAGCAGACAAGGTTCTTTTGGTAGATGTGATATCTTTTATTAGACCAACTAAATAGTTGGAAAAAATTTTCTTTGTGAGCTTTCGGGCACAAACACCCTTCTTCAGGCATAGGGAAAGTCAACTAAGTCAACTTTCCCTATCCCTGAAGAAGGGCGTTTGTTTCCGAAAGCTTGCAAAGAACAATTTTCCAACTATTTAGTTGGTCTAATAAAGGATACCACACCTACGCAAAGAACATCAACCATTGTACCATTGCATTGCAGTGGTTTAACTTCCCAGTTGTAAATTAAATGGTAGACCATCATTCGTAAGCAATTCAGTGGAGGGGAAAATGCAGCCATCACCCCATGCTCCTCACCTTTTCTACCTTGGGACAAGTGGACTCTATTTCATCTGGTTTTGTCCTTGTTCTACCATACTGCCATACAAAGATGGCAGCCACTATGGTGAAATAGGCAAACTCTCTAATCCTCTGGACATGCAAGTACATTATACCTTTTTTGTCCACTCTGGGTGTGTTTACATGTTGCCATGCTACTACTTTGTTACTGTGGCATGTGCTATGGTGACATAGTGATCATGTGAATCTACACATGATCACTAGTTATGTTGCCATAGTGACACGCTCCCCACTTATAGTACGCCACTACGGCAATGTAGTGGGGAAATCTTTGTGTGCACTGCCCATACTGCGAACATGGGAACAATGGTTGATAAGGTTCTTTGTGTAGATGTGGTATCTTTTATTAGACCAACTAAATAGTTGGTCAGACCCATAAAAAAAAGATGCATATGGCAGAATGGAAAAGAATAATGATGGCACATGGGGGACATATTTAGCAACAGGAGTTATGTGGTTGTATGTTTTCCTTTTATTTTTTGCAGATGGTGGTGCATGGTGGGAAAATGCAGTAGCTGCTTTCTTGAATCGAAATTACCCAGTCAGCTGGCTTATCAGAGATGTAAGCATTAGTTTTTTTCCTCCCTTTTCTACATGCTAGAAGCTATTTGCAAACTATAATAACAGCGTTTGTCTTGCCATTTGCATAGAAAATGACTTGGCTACACAGGCAATTATATAACTTGTAGAGAAGAGTATTCTCTAGACCAGGGGTGGGCAATTATTTCAGCA